GGGTACTTGGCTTAGGCGCTTGTGTAGGCCCAGTTGCTTTTGACTAGGACCCATTGACTGTTGTCGATGTTGATGCCACTAGTTGTACAGGCTTTGGCTTTTTCCTGACCACCTGAGTCCAGGATCTCTCGGTGGTGTTGGTGTTATTGGGCTCGTCGCCTTCGACTTGCCTAGTAGGCTTTTCGGAGGCCGTCTCTTTGCCTTTCGCCTGGCTGCTTCTTTCTTTGGCGAGGATTTGCACTGGTCGTGGAGTGCTCGCGTTATTCTTTCCCCCTGACTTAGTAGCTGGTGCCGGAAGGGTTGTAGTCTTGCTGCTACTGGCAGACTCTGATGGCCCACTGAATTGGGGCTGGGTGTTACCGCGCAGGATGTCTGTAATTATGGCCTGTAAGGCCTCTCCATTCTTTTCGACAGCTCGTCGGAGCTGTTTATCGGTTGTACCCGCCAGAAGGTTGATGTACCCGCTGACGATACGCTCAGCCTCTGCGAAGCGTAAATTAAAGGCCCTCGCTTCATCTGCGAGGAAGTTAGTCATTGTGACACCTAATGACTCGGTGGGGTTCGAGGGCGAGTATTGGCAGCTTGCCACGCAGGTGGGCTCTGCGTTTGTTTGTGTAGTATGAGGATAGTTTGGTGGCCCTGTGGGAACCATTCCGACGTCAGGACGCGTCGAATTTACGGGTGGGAGAGGGGGCCAAGAGCCAGCCTCTGCGGAGGACTGGGACGGCATGAATAGGTGAAAATATTTATTACGGTAACAGGTCATAGATGGTATATGATTTCGTCACTTGGGGCGTGAAAAATATTGTGTTGGCAAGCAGCCAAAAGTGTCGTTGTGTAGAGAATATGTCTAGTAGTATGAATTTGGTCATTTGGGTGGGACGAGGTAGATGTACATTTATTGTACTTAACCTGATCCAGCCCGGCCCCACCCGTGCTTAAGCTCCAGTAGTAGTGCGACGGGAATCACTTTACCTAGCACGTATATGAACAAGGCATGACAAGACTGATTTATGCCACACTAAAAGGAATGTGCGGATGTTATCACTAAAAATTCAATCGATTTTCCAAAGAACAACATAATCTTTGGTCGATTCCTTCGGACTAATATCTGCATACATTGCGATTTAGCCTTTGGCACCTTTCATCAGATAGCACTGGCAGCTGAAGCCCGAAAGAGTGTAAATGTGTTGGTAAGGCTCCTACTCATACAAAAAAATATTAGCAATGCGGGTACTATGCCTATCACAACTTGCCTGTTGTGTATTCTACGACATATTACCAGAGTTTTAATTCTTAGTCGAGATAGACTCCAAGATATCAAGCTTCATCAGAAGTCCAGATCTCTCTAGGGCTATTTTAGTCTACCGAGAGTTCGTGGTCTATTCCCCAAAGCTCAAAAAATATAATATAAGCTTTGGCATGACTGAAATATTCTTCCGGTGTATAGTGAAGACAAACCAGATGTTTTTTTTGAATCATTTGTGTGTATTCGGTTATCTAAACACAGCCCATGTAAGTGCTATGTATACATGTGGGATAATTCTTTTGACGATAGAGACACTCACATTCTGGATTTTATTTACATATACCACTATGAGATATGCTTGCCTACACAAACAGTCGACCCTCTTCCGTTAGTACCCACCAAAGGGAATTTCGAAACCTTTGGTTATCCAAGCATGCCTTCGTCATCCATGTATACCAGCGCCGCAAGAAATGTGGTTGTGTTTTGCCGGATTCGAACCAGCCATCTCATATCCCAAATCGGATATGAGTCCAAGCTATGCACAATCTACTTGAGAGACTGGCCCAGGTGATGTATTGCCGCACCATCCAACTACGGCGGCCTCATAGTGTTGCCTATAGTCTCCTGAATTCCATCAGAACTATTACTGAACTGCGATCAAACTTTTCTTTGCTATTTGAAATGTTTTTGTGAGCGGATGCCTATTTAAGTATAGTCAGCTCGAGTAACATGGTCATATGACATATGAGTACAGAGAGTTATGCAGGTATCGAAGGTGATCCGTAGGTTTATGTACAAAGAAAGGGCGGTTTTTCTGGTTGAACCTGGTTAGATGTGATGTGTTTATTGTACTACTTGAGCCCTAGACTATCTAGCACATTAGGCTCTTCTCTAGTCCAGGTCACACCTTGTACAGTGCTCCTTGCCTTTTAAGTTTCTGGAAAGATCATTGATATATTGCCAGTATTAAATAGCCATTCAGCTTAGTATTTATCCGTGGAATTCAGCCACCTTTTCCACGGAACCTTCTACCCAAAGAAAAAAAAAATGGTAGTAATGGAAACTGCGTGCGCGGGATAAAGTCTCAAAAAACCTTGCAGCCCCAGCCAGGCGAGACCTAGACACCGGGACCACATGAGGTGCGTATATTCAGCTATATCTATCTTTTTTGTATCAGTCGATACCGACTTGATCCAATCTGCCATCGCCGTATCGGGTGCTGGGTACGCTCCGAAAACTCATGGGATGTCTTTTCCTCCATTATCAAGGGTTTGTGATAAGAGGGACTTCGACCCTAACATCTGATCATGGTTAGCATCTCTTCTTTTCTTTTTTTTTTTCTTTTCTTTTTGTATTCAGCTATTTAGCTATGACAATTTATCTAACATTAACACTAAGTAATCAAACTCCCCTACATAATCTTTCCCATCTTTGTTGTTCCATATATCTGCCCAATGTTTTTTGTTCTATTTATTCTCCCTTGTGTACACTGATACACCTGAAAGATTTTAAAAATTCTAGTAATGCCTCCTTCCCCCTTTTTGTTCGAAACAATATGGGCAGTTTGAGTGGTACTATAGCTTGAAATGATTCATTCCTTTCCTTTGTAAATTTGCTACACTGAAGAATCAGATGTTGCATTGTCTGACTTCCTCCTGCACAGAAATTTCAGATATCATCCTTTGTCTTTCCAATTTGGTGTAAATATGTTTTTACATTCCCAATCATGGTTAGCTTCATGATAATGGTAAGAGGGGGTTATGTTAAGGGATGAAGATGATGTAGACCACGAAAGTGATTGACAGACTGGTGTTGAGAATAGTCCTCCTGAGACTAAGAGTGATGATCAATGACACACAAACCAATGAGAAGAAAATTAATGATAGAAAAAGATTATCTAACGGTGTTAATAAATCTCTTTCCGATGATCTTTATTGCGAGGGCCATATAATCTTTTCACGTTAGATTCGAAGGCTCAAATTCAGGGACTATGGCATGAAGACGGCTAGGTAGCGAGACGGATATTGTCACGAAATGAGGTCGTGATCTGTACAATCGAACGAAGTAATCAAAGTCTATTCTGATTCTCTAAAGTAATGAAAATACAAGAGTCGCTATATGATGCGCAGGAGAGTGTGTAATAGAAAGCTATTTTACAGGGGGTATCTTAGCGGGCCCAGGACCCGTGACAGATATTAAGGAGCGACATGGATCAGATCAAAACCCCAGTGATCTTGGAGTGGTGCAGCTTGAATAGTTTCTAGCGGAGGAAAGAGGCTATGCGTATCCGAAATACAATGAGCCCGTTTACCAATAGTTCAGCCCGAGATGCAATATCAGGACTAGGCCTTGGCTTCAGGCTAACGGTACAGCGGGCACGCCATTTTGGCGAGAGCGAGATCAACTAGCTTACAAAAGTGATTTAAGTGTCGGAAATACTTGCCCATAAATTTAGAAACCAATTAGACGGATCATCATGCAGATTTTCACAGTCTAGATCTGAGTATAGATTTAAATGTAAATGAAACAATCTGGCAGGAACAATATCACACTACCAGCTCCAAAGCCTCAGTATGAGAACGACATCTCGCCGCGCGGCCCCTGGCATCATCCAGGTTGGCTAACAAAGGCTGCAGCGAGGACTGACCTTGTACTAGCGCCCGCCAACGGCTTCAGGGTCTTAGCTATGTCATCTAGCATACTTGGCGACACGGAAGGCCAAAGACATCAGGGGTCTGGCCGCAACGTAGCACAGGCATTGTTGTCCAATTCGTTTTTATATGATTCGGCGGGGTCTTTAGACCTGCTATGTTTTCTCATGTTGTCTAGGGTGGTACCATTTGTGATACGCTCTTTTTTCCAGAACGGTTAACCTTAGATTGGTAATCTATCATACAGGTTGGTGCTCTCTGCCCACGAGCCGGCGAAGAGCTGGCATATTCGGTGTGGGGTAAGGGATGATGGACCTGGTTATGATATGCGGGAGAACATTTATTAATATCCCGAACTGTGCACGCCAAGGTACGCTCGAGAGCTTCATGAGACCCTGGGCTGGAGATAAACAAGCAATGTCGGGATACGTGTTGACCCGCACAATCTGGCATTTTGGATCTGTCAACATGGTAGTTCGCACTCAGGCTTTCTGTCAGATACACCCTTGTCATTCGCTGTTGAGGGCTTCCACAGCCAACCTGCCTTCGTTGATTCCTTAGTCCGGATAGACTGAGCCAGGCGCTCGCTCGTCAGTGCTGAAATTTACAGCAGCTTGGTTCGAATCAAGACTTACTCACTACACTGGAGCCGAAGAATTTATTGCTACTGTTTCTCGATAGATATTAATCGCATCAAATGTACGTACACTGCTCCGCGAATCTCAGGGAGTATGAAACGCTAAGATGGAAGCTTAAAGCTACGCTACCTGGCACAAAAGTACGCCTACGAGACTCTGCTACGGCACAAGCTCTAATTGGGCTAGGAGCAATAAGTGCGTGTTAGTAACTCTTGTAAATGTGTCATGAAGTGGACCTGACAGTATAGACTCAGTTTGTTGATAGTTTAATTATGATTAATTCCTACTCCAGCCCGCATGTACATGATATCTCTGTATGACTCCAATTGTAACACTTTCCGCCTCTAATGGGCCATTACCGCATAACCCAAAGGATGTCTGTCGTGGTATCTACAAAATTCCCCTGCTTTCATGTCTCAAAATTTCTCCAGTTATTTCTCAAACATATCAAAGCGCTCATTTCTAGGGAAAAATCTTAGCCATATTTATCTTAATGACTGGAGAAAAGATGGGGTAACGAACCGGTAATTTAACTAACTTTCGACCTAATCCTTCTAATCCGGAATCAGGAGTGGTCTCTGCTGCCTGTACTGGCTGAAAATCCGCGGCAGAAGCCGCCTCTACATTTTCTACAGCCGCAGCACCTGGACCATCGCCTTCGACGTCAGCTCCTTGCAGCGAGGCCATTAGATTTGCTGCCCCGTCTGTATCATGGAATGCGATCGCTCCATCACCGACCACCATTGCTGGTGAATAGTTGCCCATATTGATGTTAAGAGGGGCCGTAAAGACCGAGACGAAGAATAGGGCCATTACGAAAAGCGGGGCGCTTGAGGCGTACATATTGCTATCGATTTTTTGCTGTGAGGCGGCAAATAATTTGAAGAGAAAAAAATTAAGAGAAAGTGGTGAGGCTGGTCGAAAGGTCTGTGTGGATTTGGCTGAAAGATGAAAGATATCCTCTGAACTTGAAAGTATTAAAAGTAAGTGTGAGTTGTAATTTTGAAGGGCGGTGGAAATGGTTTATTTAAGTAATCACTAATAGAAGGTGAGACCGGAACAAAACATTCAATTAGGTCTCACAGGTTAAAGTTCGTCCAAACAAAAAGAGGGCGCGTGTTTTAGAAATTGAAGTTTTCGCTGGCTTCGACGCCTGCCTCAGGAAAATGGTCAGACTGTGCCATAGCACGAACCCTGTGATGCTTAATCCAAAGCTGCCCATAATCTATGAATTAAAGGTAGTTTTGATTGATGTAATCGGGATAGAGGACGAGCGTGAGATGTGGGTCCCACCTGGATCCGACACGAAGAGTTCTCGTCCTTGATGGCAAGGGTGATGCGGTTACTGAAGCAAGTGATCTCCACCCTTATTCGAGGGGTTGACCCTAGTTTCCTCGGGATATCCAGACCCAATCATTTATGACACTAGTTGGATAATAAATCCAAAATGGTGTGAACATGTCCGCCACCGTCGCGAAAACCTAATCGTCTCACTTCGAGACAGATACATGAAGGAAATAAAGCTTATATGGAAAGTGAAAACCACCCGCAGAATTTATGACACACGAAAGTCTAGTTCAGCCGTACTTTTTTCTGATGTCAAAAGTTTTGCAAGGTATCTATTGTGAGATCAACATGATTGATCATAGACCCGTTCAAAGACAGATTTCGAAGAGGCTTTATTCACCAGCAAGGTACTCCTATGATACTAATTAATTAAAACTCTTACGACTTAAGTAAATTTTGTGTGTAGCTAACCTGTCTCATTAGTTCGTAAATTTCACCGAATAACTTTTCTAAACACCAGGACTTCGGTGTAATGTTTAAGTTTGCTGAACAAAAAGTTGGACATCTTCAATCATACTCACGACACACAGACATTTCATCCGAGGTGTCTGAGTCACAGCACACTTGCACCCTCAGATCTGAAGATAGCAAGGCGATGTAACATGCGGAAACAAATGGATCAATTATTCTCGTATTGAATAGATCATGATGAGGTTCTACGTAGGACGTTGACTCTCTCTCAGGGTGAAATAATGTATCAAACAAAACATTATCGAAATGTCACCAACCTCCGCGGAAGATAATGCTCAAGTTTGATTAATTCTAGTACATTTTTCCAAATATCACCCATGTCAAAATATCTTTCAATTAAAATTAACAGGACTGCCATTCTCATACTGAGCGGCAGAACATTTAGACAACCCAAAGCATTCTGAATACATCTGAAGAAACTCGGTTTAGAATTTTCGCCGTGAATCCCTCGTCATAAGCTGCAACAATCAATCTAAGGGTCAGCGGCACAGCACCATCTCAAGATAACTTCAACAGACTTTTTCCTATCTTTGGAAAGCCTCTTTTGCAATTTCCAAGACAAAAGTCAATTTTATACTCCGATGAGATTCTTTTGCCCTCGTTTTGACAATTCAAACTCTACAACCCCTATGACTAACTTGACCCAGACAATGATAGATAAGGGAAATGTTGAACTGGCCCAAATTTTGAACATGAAATTCGGAGGAAACCTCGCTATTTGCAATATTTACTATCCACTAGTGATTGAATATAATATATCATTTTTATATACTCCTTTCTGTCAGCGTTTGAATATTCAGGACTATATATGTTACTGACATAAACCCCAACCTTATTCGTTAAGGCTGTTACTAATAATACAGGAGCTTTCATCTCAACAAAGGACCATGTATCTATGTATAATTTTTTTAGCCTTCTCAGTGAAAACCTTTGAAAACCTGACCTTCATTGCAATTTTACTATTCTTAGCCTGACTCGATGCGCAGGCCATGGGCAACCATGGCAAGATAACCTTACGTTGGTGTGGACCACTGACATTAAACATGCTGTAAACCCATAAATCTTAATTTTCAAGCCTCTTCTACCAGCTGCTATCACTCCCCTTGTCGATGGAAATTCCGTAGAACTTATCAAAAATTTCTAGAACGAGGCAAAGACACTGGCATGATTTTTTTCGGAGATTATCAGTCCAAAGAACTTGCTCTGGGAAAAGAAATTTTGTTTAGGCATCATCACGAGACTCTTTAAGAAGCGACCAGTTGTCCAAGAGAGCCATCGCCACTTGCATCAGAATTTTGAACGTCCAGTTACGCATAGCTTGTCGCCCTTTCAATTTTACCCGGTACGACAAACTAAAGGGTCAGTATTTTATCGGCCGTCTAATATCAAGGATAGTCAGTAAACTTAAGCCACTACTTGTAGTCGGGTTTCTCCCTGAATTCAATGGCCAGGTTTGCGCGAGAGAATTAGCATTTTCATTGTGTCTATTCGCAAGAGTAAATTTAAACAATCTTCCATTGCCCTAGTATACCTGTATCGAAATTTCAATCGAAAGGCCACACAAAAGTGTATAAGCCTTGCTATATTCGGAGCAATAATTTTACGGCTTAAAGGGCTAGAATAAGCAGATCACCCGTCACCGAAGACCAGCTGGCGATGAATAGATGTCAAAGAAGCTTTAGAGATTAAGTCCTCTAAGACATAATTTGAATGAACCTAAAAAGGGTTGCGGATGATATACATGTGGGGCCCTAGGCACAGATGGATTTGCTCAAACCTAACTCGCCCAATAAAAGTTTATAAATTTCACTTCCAATATACGGTATGGCGTAGGCTGTGGCTAGACTTTCTCGTGCGCTCCGGATAGTCCGGTTTGGATGGGGCAGCGAACGCGCATCTACCTCGGAACAGGTGGCCAAATCGGAAGCTGTGGCGGGGCAAGATTCTGTGCTCCGTCATACAAGCAGCTGGGCCAGATAGTGTAGTGGATCATCGCTCAGGTGGATTTACTACGTAAAGCCGAGATAGCTAGGGGATATGCTCTACTTCAGCTAAAATATCGCTGCTCCGAGTTCAGGATAACTCGGTAATATCTCTCGCGGGTTTTATCTACATTATGAGGAAGTTGTGATTGGTCAAGAAAAATTTAAAAGTCTGCCTTGTTGACTTCCTACAGATAAGGATTAACTATAGGGCTAAAGCAAACGTAATTCATCAATCTGAGGCATGAGTGCTCTAGTTATAATTGAGCCATTTGTTATGTACTTCTCTTTGATATTATATCATAGCTAGAAAACTGCATACGCAATTAAAATCTGATGCAAAAAAAAACATAATTCATCTCCGTATTTGCGAATGGAATACAAAGTATGAGATCCTCTAGTTTCAGAAGAATTGCATAACCAACTTTCGAGACAATGTTTTTTGAATAACTAGTCAGTTGAATATACATGAAATGATTCGGGAAAACAATTTCCGAGAGTAAAAATTTGGCTCCATTTATAGTGATTTTCAAAATTTTACGTCTTTCCATATGAACAATCAATGTTGGAGCAGTCCTAATGGAGTGCACATCCTACAATAGTCTTAGACTTATAGAGGATGTAAATGGATAAAAAAAAATCAGTGTTGGATAACCAACTGTCACTCTCATTTGAGGGAGACGGGAAAGTGTTTGTTACCTCTCGCTTGGTTGGACGAGGCGTGTTAGTGCATCTTTAGCTAACAATTAACCTTTCGAACAATAGAACAATTAAGGGGTACACAAATGCATAAAAGCTGTCAGCAATGTCCCTTACAACCCTTCAGCTTTCATCATAGAGTTTGCCGGGCCAATATTGGGCCCAAAATGAGCCAATAGTACCTCTATTGTCAGCAGTTCTACGGCGTTTTCCAGTTCCTAAGACGCGCAAAGAAGACAGGCAAGGGTATTTTACGGTACGCGCTCTCTGTAAGAGATTCCCTGGAATCCAAGCCTAATCTTACATTTATCCCACGATGCGAACGATGGATGGAATTAAGGGTGCGCTAGGAAGTCATATCGAGTCTCTTGGGTGCACAAAAATTTCAGCAACCGATTGGACGGACTGTCAGAACGCTTCAGAAGGAAATTTATTGAGAAGTAGTCCTGGTATTAGTATTAGAAGAGCCACGTACCCAATGTGTTTTACAATTACCCCTTGCAGCCACACATGGGCAAATTTCAATCCATTTGTTGGCTGGATAAGGGATGTTGAAGAGTAGAAAGCTCCTATAAGTCTACAAACGAAGACTTGAAAAGGGTAGTACCTTCTGAAGGGAGCTGTAGAAGTGATACAGGAGAGGATGTGGTACTAATCAAGATTTGGGTATCTACGGACTGTGGGCAGGATGGACTTGTATATCCTATAAAGTAATAGACTAAGAAAAAATAAATATAAAAACTAACCAAAAAATGGATAGATAGATCGACGAAGAGACAATTTCCTCCCTTAAATTTCCAGGACCCAGTTCTGATGAATCTAAGCAAAGTTTAATTTCAGACTGAGCCCCATCGCCGCCACACGGGAATGTCGTGGGAACAATTATTCTTGCGTCTTTTCGGGACTCGACGCCTCATTTAGAATTACTTTCACTGTAAGAATTAAGACCGATATATTTACCATTTCTCTCAATTTACCGATATTTAAATTGGGTTTGCAGATTTTGCACCATCGTATAGCTCCCTAAACACTTACCTCCGCCGGACCCAGTCTTATGGTAAGAGTGCGCAGAGAATTTTGCATGTCACACATGCTGAATGAAATTTTCTGTGAAAGATGGGATTCGATTCGAAGGCTAGAAGGTACAAGGGGCACGTTCGCATTCTACATGACCATATCGGATCACGTGATATGAACTGACAAAGCTATATCCTAGCAACAGTTGCGCCCCTATTTCCCGAGACACCGAAGCCCCACCCACCCGGAAAATCGCGTAGTAGCATGCTGTGATGGGCACAGAGTAGCAGTGAAACACGATGACCGCCAAGAACCCTGAGCTTTACGTGTGATTTAAGCATTCGTAAAGAATAGTTGGTCGGGCTAGATAGAACTTTTTAAAGTAACGAGGAACGCCGGCTCACGGGCTAGAAGTATAAAATAGCGAGAGCTTAAGGGTTCTACTGTGACGGGCTAGGACTTTCGGCAATGCACGCTAGCAATGCCACAATTGGATATGTGTATTTTCCATAGAGAATTTTCGAGCGAGAAGCTACGGCGCCGTAAAACTAGAATGCCTGTTCCGGTGCCCCTGGCCCTTTACACGTAACCCGATAATACTACCGTACACTAGGTAGATTTACAAACTCGCTTGCGCCTACGAGATCAGGATGGGCCCTATAGCCATAAACAGCCCAGCCACCACCAGCTGGGCTTAGCCTGTGATATCTAGACACGTTACCCTACCTTGACTAGACTTAAAACATTGGCCAGTTTATCTATTTAGTGGATTCCGTGATACGTCGTCACATCTCCGGCTAGCGTAGGTAGCTTGGTTAACCAGACTGAGGGTACATTGGCATGCGAATATCCAAGTAAGCCACTTTCTACTCACCTGACCTTTTTCTAACTATGATCTCGATGTGAAAATTATTGTGATTCTGTCAAGGTTTGGTGACGGGCGGAATGGCACCCGGATCGCGGTGTTAGCAACACTGTGTGCTATAGATGGTTAATCCCGACTACAATCTTGTTTTATTCCCTACTCTTGCCAAGTGCCTAATTCAAATTCCAAGTGTCTCTTTTTGTCATTATAACCTCTCATGCATGGGACCTATTGGAAAATACCACGTTAACTTGTGTGCTCTCACTAACCTGCTGTCAATCGCTAGTAAGTGTTGATGAAAAGTTTTTTGACCCCTTCTTTTTCAAAGTATCAACTCCCCGCCTTCTAAACAAGGGTCACAAGAGATGTAGCTGAGCTATGCTAGACATAGACCAACGACCCCTATTTCAGGTGGAGTACAGGCTCAAGCTAAGAAACTCGTTGTAGAGACCAGTCTAGACGGTATACGACTGCACCACCCAAGTACAAGCATGCTCTCTTCAAGGAGATAGATGATCAAAGTGAATGTGGTAAAGCTCGATATCGATCATGTGGGTCGACTGGCTTTGCAGCTAGCCGTCTAGTCTGGTCTATGTAGAGTCTCGGAAACATTAAAATCTGTTTACTTCAGAAAGTGACCATCAGTCCGAATCTGGGAGACTCGTCTGCCTTTTCTCTGAACGAATACACCTGATTTAGCATGCTGTAATATACTTCTTGTTAATCACTTTTTCCTCTATCGGATATTCACGATTGAGACTAGGATGCGAGCCCCGCACATTTAGATAGTGTTACCAGCGGTTGAGATCCACTCTATGATTCTTCTACCAACGTTGATGTTTCAAAAACTTAAGATAATGTCTAATGCCTATTTGAGTCAGCGCTCTTGATTGCATGCAATATCACGATCGTATGGCTCAATGATGAATAATGCATCTCTTTTGAATTAGTCTGATGTGCGTGCGAACACCTCCTTGTGCATTCATGATTCGCAAAAACCACCATGAGTCACATTTATCACGGTTATTTCACTCCATGCATGTTAGTACCCAGCAAAGAGAGGGCTCAAATCTCTGGTTTTACAATCAGGCCATCTTCATCTTGTGCGCAAGCATCACTAGAACAAAAGCAGGGTTTGATTAATGCGAACCATCGATCTCCTACTCTGAGCGGCGTATGTGTATTAGCCATCCACAGTCTACTTGCGATTCCGGCCCGGATGATCAACCATTGCACTATCTAGCCATAGGCACACTCATAGAGTCACCTGCAGTTCGAATGATGCGTCGCAGGCATGTTGGGGAAGCGGGACAGATGCCAAATCTGTCAGATCGGGTAGACATGGCAGGGGTGGAAATCCCCACCACTCAATCTGGTCAGTTCAGCAAGCGAGGGCCGCCGGGAAATGGTGCGACCCGTGATGTTGGTTAGACCAATTTATCAAACATTCGTAAGATAGTTTTACTTTCCTAAGCCATAGCATACGCGATACGGGTAACAACGTCCTTTGCGTGGCCTGAGACGAACAAACCCAAACTTAATGAAGCCAAAATTCGCAGGGTCTCGCCCCACTCAACTGAGCGCGCCTTAGATCTTTCATTAAGTAAGTTTCCATCCCGAAGCGCCAGAATTTCCACGTGCCATGAATCCTCCAGGCCAGATGTTCCCGCACGTCCTAATTCTGGAGGTGGGTAGACAGCAAAGGATAGCCTTCGCAAATATGAGGAGGGGCTGGCTATGTCTTTCCCTGTCATTGCACGCAATCTTCGATCCTGAATTGGCCTGCATATTGAGCATTGACTTTCAAGAGAATTGTCTTTACAACTGACACATCCATAAGGGCCTAGAGAGCCGTCTCAGGGCTCGTATTTCCGAAACCCACTACTCAAGAAGAATAATTACATCTACCCAGTGCGATAAGAATTTACCGATACTTTATCTTCAACACTTGAAGCGTCGATAGTTGCGGATAAGCTGTGGAAGGGCTTGCGCTCGCGCTTTTGTCTGACCGCTCAACATGAAGAGCGTCTCTAACCCAATGAAATATACTCTTTCCCAAACACACCCTTAAAATCTTCGGGTGAACTTGGACGCGCAAATCGTTGGATGGTAATTGCCTCGAGTTGCCTAGTCCAAGGATTCCAGGGGATCATGAAAGGCTCAAGTTGTACCCATCTCTAGGACTTGCTTAAAGGCATGTTATTCCGCCTTATTTGCCTAACACCTCTCTACACTCTACTCTAAGTACTTACTATCACCCTTTAATCCTAATCACTTCGGCTCCTACGACCTCGAAACCATCTCAGCACTCGCATCGCCATTTTTTACTACGAGAAAATCTCATATTCCTATCAACCAATTCTCAGCGTCAAAATGTACACCTCGCTCAGCCCTTTTGTTCTAATTGCTCTTATATTCTCTACGGTCCTTGCGGCCCCTCTTAACATTAACATGGGCAACTTTTCTCCTGCTCTGGTAGTCGGTGATGGAGCGATCGCATTCGATGTACCTGAGACAGGGGCTAAAGCAGTTGAAGCAGCAGATGTGTCGAGTATAATTGACGCCAAAACCGCTGGCACAGGCGAATTCCAACCGCTCCAGGCAGGTGTGGAAGGAATAGGACGCAAAGTTGTCCCTCAATCGGTGCGCTCTTTGTCAAATCTCTACCTAATAAAAGCTGAAGCTAACACATTCTAAGTGACGGAAAAATGTTCTTGATGAAAGGGTCTGAGAAGGAAGAGGATTTTTTATACGAAGGAGAGAGTATGTGTTGTAAATATCCAGTGGCGATAACTCCGAGAGCGATATCGACGCAGTATTGATTGGGACCTGTTCATATTATTGTTGTACCTGCAAACTTGTAAAGAAATTAATAGTAATGAGGATATCAAAGTGCCATCTATTTTCGTTTTGTCTGTCTCTAGATTCCGCAGTATTTAGATGTGTACTGCTGATCAAATTCGCTCACCGTCCTATCTAAGTCCCGGCGACAGATAGCTGAAGGATTCTTGACATAATTGGTGGAGCGATGACTTTTCTTAGATTTACAGGGTCATTTGAAGCCCTCACTAGAGATATCAGAGCTGTGGAGGCCGCTCATTGTAATTTATTTAGTGTCTTTATTATCCTCCTGAGTCTATGAATTCTTTTGCATCAGATTTTAATTGCGTATGCAGCTGTCTAGCCGAGACACAATTTCGTGGTGAAATACAGAAAAGATGACTCAATTATAGCTAGAGCACTCGTGCCTCGGATTTCATTTGCAAGTATCGCTGCGAAGTTATGGTGGCTTTTTCTTCACCCCAAGTCAACCCTCATCCGTGAATACCCACCCAGAGGAACGTCTCAAAAACCCTGAGTTATCCAGACATGCCTCCGTCATCCATTAACTTTTCTACGCGCGAAATGTAATCTGAGATGTCCCCTTCCCAAGTGGAGTAGTTGCCCAGGCTACTCAAACTATTTCGAAGAACATCATCAGGAGACGTTCCACAGTGTCTACCATAGCTTGCTTGTTTTTATAGTGTCAGCTACACTCTCGCAAGCGAAGTCTTGGCGTGAACAAGGCTCAATTTGTAAAACTCTTGCCAAAATTCAAAATCTCACGCCCGTCGAGACTGTATCCATCCGTTGCGTCATCTTGTTAACTTGTACCTAATCCTCTCACGCCAATCCCAAAGAGCTATCTCTCAGACTTGTGCGCCACGCTTTGCTTCCTCCGTCGGGTATAAATATCGGCGTGGGCGTGTATTTGGTGGTCAATTGAGGCCAGAGAAGGTCGAAGAGTGGTGTGGTCATTGGAATAAGCATGTACTAGATCATACTTGTAGGCTTGATGAGGCTTAAGTAGGAATCGGACTCTTTGGGAATGAGGATTTGACGTGGTTGAGTAATTTGAATTTTTGCCTCGTGGGCCAACATCTTTGGTATTGCGAAATTTGACTGAACTTAGCTCTGGGAGAATATTTCACTCCCAGGTTCGTAGAGGACACCACGTACAGGTGTTCAGTCTTTTCCCTCCTTGCCCTGTGAGTCTATGGCTGTAAAATGACGTGCAGGTTCTTTCAGTCTACAGGCCGGAGATGCATATACCTCGGGTATTATACCCCCTCATTTGCCGTCTTCATGACATCATTCCAGCAGTTATACCCCCAAAAGACTTCATTTTAGGTCACACTCAGAGGAGCTGCCGTCAAAGACGAATTCTTGTTTAAAATATCGTGCAATTAACAGGGAATGAAAGTAGTTGTTAATTGAAAGAGTGTCATGTTAGGATCACAGCTAGAAGAGTGGGAGGTGTGCGCTATTAGTACAAGTGTAAGCAATATAGAGCCTAAGCCACAACATAGACGAATGTGGCGTCATCTAGGCACATAAAACTCCCTACAACCTCCTCGTGCCCATGCCATACAGGTGCTCATGTATTTAATAAGTAGCATGAATTGCTACCATCTTAACTATTCCAACCTCTTAAATACACAAAAGATTGTGTCGGTTACCTAGACGAAATGGAGGGCCCATAAGTCCACAACACTGTGTCTCCATTTCCAACAATTCGTGACCTTCCAGTGGTGCGGATGTGATCGCTCAGTATGCTCTACGTATCTGGGATAGCCAAGAGGAATCGTATCCGAATCGAAGTCGAATGTAATCTTACGCATATCTAAAATGGACGATTTCTCGACAAATGTTGAACCTATCATTCTCACGCGAGTCCTCTACCTCAATCTTCTCACGCGACCTCGCCTTCAATTCTAATAAAAGCGTTAATTCAATTGCAATATGGAATTTGCCTCATCGAAAATCGGCCATCTCCCACTTCTAATTTACGATGCTATGTACAACAGCGAGGAGGGAATTAAGACATAATCTACAAAGCTCGGGTCTTGGAATGTGGGGAAATCTTGTTCTAATTGAGCTTCATATCTTGAGAGAGGACAAGCAGATAGGACGAACGAGGGAAGAGGTCACAAATGGGTAGGCTGGGACTCCCATTATTCGAGTCTTTTCGACTTAAGGGTTTCTGTGGACGCAGAGACAATGATTTCGGATACTACAACCGACACTCAGAAAACAGGCAACGATGGAAGGTGTTTTGGTCCGCCTCCTGATGATCATCCCCCCGAATGTGACGTCCCCTCCCACAAAGCCACAAAGATGGATGGATCTACCCCAGGCATTTCACATAGTTGTAGTGAGGACTACTATTTGCTTGTTATCAAGGGAGGTATACTGTTTAGCAATTGTCGTTTGCTAGTGCTGTCCTTTTAGCTTTGTAATTATTGGCCTGGATGACGTCCCAACACTTCAACAAACTATGGCAGTCAGTAATTAGATCATAGTACGAAGCATGACAGATAGGAAAATAAGATGAGAAGTGTCATTTTCCAACCGCAAATTGGATTATGGGTTTGGAATTTTGTTATGGGAGTCTGTGGGAGTTTTTATTTTCTCTTTTTCTATATTGCTGCTGGTTGTGTAGTTGTTCACGCGGTGAGACCGAGACTGGCATGTGGGAAGCATGATTTCGGCAGTGTGCACCGGTCCTTGACTCCTAGGAGATATAGAGCATAGCTTAGGAACTAAAAATTAATAAAAAACTATGGCAGTGTTTACAGTGTCTATCGAACTCTCGCGACTGGACTAGTACCTACAGAGCCCATCAATTTTAAGAACTCCTAGCTTAAATTTGGAATCTCGATCCCTTTTGGAGTGTTTACACCATTTGCATAGTATATATTGAAGAATTATCTGTCAAGTCTATCTCGAATATCTGCTTGACAGATTTGTGCGCCAGCATTTATTGTGTCTTGCAGATATTCATCTTGTCGTGGGCGTATAGTGTGAGGTTAATAGAGGCGAGGGGCTGACTAAATATAAAGCATTTTCACAGAATCAGGATGCTTGGTCCTGCCCGTAGGCTAGACAAGGCTTTAGTCAGAATCCGTGTTGTCGGTATGAATGTCTGATGCGGTAGGCAGACTTGAATTATTGTGTATGTGTGTTTTTATTGTACTACTTGAGTCTATGACTATCTATAACATTGGGCTACTTTCTGGCCCAGGCCACACCTTGTAAAGTGCTCCTTGCCTCTCATGTTTCTCGAAAGATCATTGATTTATTCCCCTTGATGAGTAGCCATTCAGCTTAGTATTTACCCGTGGAATTCGGCCACCTTTCTACGGAACCTTCTACCCAAAAAAATAAAAAATGGTAACAATGGAAACTACGTCCGCGGGAAAAAGTCTCAAAAAACCTGCAGCCCCAGCCAGGCGAGGCCTAGACACCGGGACCACATGAGGAGCGCATAATGATCTATATCTCCCTTTTTCGTAACAGTCGATGGCGACTTGATCCAATCCGCCATCGCCGTATCGGGTGCTGGGTACGCTCCGGAAACTCATGGGATGTCTTTTCCTCCATGATCAAGGGTTGGTGATGAGTAGGGCTCCGACCCTGCCATCTGATCTGATTGTGGTTAGCTTCATGATAATGGTGATAGGGGGCAGTGTTGAGAGATGAAGACGATACAGACTGCGGAAGCGATTGGGAATCCTCGTCAAAGTAAGGACTTTGTTTCTCAATCTCGGCTCTGCAGACTCTAAAGTGAGAGCTGGAGGTTCGTAGGGGACACCACTAACGGGTGTTGAGAATAGTCCCCCTGACTTGAATGATTGCTTTTTAGGCCAACTTTATCGTAATAACGGATTTTTAATGATCTTGCACTTTGAAGCGTATTTCGCCATCAGCTTCGCAGATAACACCGCGGACTGAATTTCTATGACGAAGGGTCTAGGTGTGGAAAGATAGCCAACAAAATACTGCCATACCCCTGCTACATTAAACTCGATCCAGATGAATCCGCGTGTCCCCTAATTACTTCCCCTCCCTTGCGATTAGACAAATTAATCCGCATAAATATCGGATTGCACACGTCGACCAACCGCAAACATATTCTAACGTATGCTCAACAAAATTCTGATACTATTTACCTGTCTGCTTCAGAATACACTGCTGGGCTGATTAAATGTCGTCCTGAACCTCATCACCAGGTCCACAATTATGCCAAAACCATGAGACGCGTTGTTATTACGGGTATCGGCGCGATTACGCCACTTGGTGTCGGAATTCAAAATATCTGGCCTCGACTCCTTAATAGTGAGTGTGGCATTGTTAGTGTTGCACACTTAAAACCTTCAAAGCAGTGGCGAGAACTTCCAAGCCTAGTCGCAGGGCTCGTGCCTAAAGGACTTCGTGTCCACGGTAAATGGTCCGCATCTGAATGGTTTTCCCCAAGTGAAGAGCGACGAATAGCCAAGTTTACGCAATATGCCCTAGCTGCCACCCAAATGGCCTTAGAAGATAGTAGATGGTATCCTGAAAGACAGGATGACAGGGAGCGCACGGGTGTGTGTTTAGGTAGTGGAATCGGAAACCTAGAACAACTTTACCAGACGAGTATTACATTTGAGCAGCTCGTGAGTTTTCTTCATCTAGGGCAGACAACGAGTGGCAGGAGCTTTTAATTTGATTATGACTGAGATGTGTGTAGGGCTATAAAAAAGTATCCCCTCTTTTCGTGCCGCAGCTTCTCATAAATCTAGGAGCTGGTCATATCTCAATGAAATATGGCTTTGAAGGGCCGAACCACGCCGTATCGACAGCTTGCACTACTGGCGCACACGCTATTGGAGATGCTTCGCGCTTTATAGCCTTTGGAGACGCTGATGTAATGATTGCTGGTGGCTCCGAGTCTTGCATTCATCCCCTTGCTCTAGCAGGCTTTGCTCGATCTCGCTCCCTCTCGACCATGTTCAACGAGAATCCAGAATCCTCCTCCCGCCCCTTTGATCGAGATCGGTGTGGCTTTGTCATTGCTGAAGGCGCGGGTGTTATGATTCTTGAAGAACTTGAACATGCAAAATCTCGCGATGCTCCTATCTATGCCGAAATACGAGGATACGGTTGTAGTGGTGATGCACATCATATCACAGCACCGAGAAGCAATGGAGCCGGAGCTTACTTGGCAATGAAGCGGGCATTGGTAAACTCCAACTTAGCGCCTCGAAATGTGAGCTATATCAATGCTCATGCCACTAGTACGCAGCTTGGAGACGCAGCTGAAAATGGAGCTATTTTAAGGCTAATGCTAGGAGAAAATGGGGTAGAACAGGCACGGAGCATCTCAGTGAGTAGTACAAAGGGGGCTATAGGTCATCTATTGGGCGCCGCAGGTGCAGTTGAAGCAATTTTCTCCGTCCTCGCGGTCAAGAATGTGTGGAAAATAAATTTGACCACCTCTTCTTTTACTGATTCGCGCAGAATATCATACCTCCAACCTTAAACCTTCGCAATCTCACCTCCGACTTTAGCTGCAACTACATTCCCCTCTATTCACAACAGAAAAAGGTTGATGTAGCCTTATCCAATAGCTTTGGTTTTGGAGGAACCAATGCGTCTCTGGTTTTCTCCAAGGTATCCTGAATGTGATTCCGAAAAAATCTCTTAGTCCAGAAGAAGGTTCAACAACTTTGAATTTTTAGGCTTCACAGCGCTAATTCAGTTGTCAACAAATATTTCGTCTATTTACATTTGATTGGGATGGTATGAAACGTCAACCGATGTGCAGCCTGTACCACTTTACCGAAACCGATATATGTTACAATAAACTAAGCCGTCCCAAATGGCACGTTCAAGCACTTTATTTGACTCACAGAAAGACAGAGGCGCTATGATTGCTAAATATCTAGTTTAGCCAATGCTTGAAACGATGGAGTACCTAGCTTATATGAAGGGTTTGAAGTGAAACATAGATTCGATATATATCAGTATAGGGACCTGCACAGTCATTCACTCTTGATTCAACGGCACCCTATGAGAAGAGATGCTCCGCTTCTCAAACCGACATTTATACAATGATAACTAGTACTATGTCGACTGCTTTTGTCTCCCCTTTCTAAGTAGGCTGCTCATGCCATCAACGCATCTACATCATCAAAGTGTGTTCGTATAATTAAGGTTTCAATTTTTTTCTTTGATGATCCTTGAGATCCGATAATTTTGACCTAAAATCCAGATTTCAATTATCAGTTGTTCTAGTGAATGAAATGGATGTTAGAGTCCTTCTAAATTTGAATAGAGAAGTTTCAAAATACATATCACCAACACTAATCATTGGATATTTTGGAATGATGTAAGAGTCTCAGGGCCAATACAAATCTTCCCGGTTACTTTTCGCAAACAGGAAAAATATCTCAACACCATTCGCTTAATTTTTTTCTCAAAATATTTTCTCAGGGCTCATGGAAAAAGGCTAATAGTGAAAGAAACTCATATATCTATTAAGGAATAAGTCATCAAACCTAATTTTTGAGGGGGCGCTTAGTAAGTAGAACTACATTGGCCACAGCTACATTGTATTTAGGTAAAAAATAGATATCAATAATATTGGAAAGCGGCAAATATATTTACTGATGAAAAAACAGGCAGCACTAGAATGAATCTCAAAGATACACCGCTATAATTCCACCGTAACCTAACCAGGGCCCAAAGCAGTGTCTCCATTTAGCCAAGAAGCGAGCATATCGGGTTCAATTCTTACCTGCACAGGAGGAAAGTACCCGAAGTAGAAAAGCCAAGCTGTCAATGTAGATATCCGTCACAAAACGTCAAGCATATGGTACTGGCGTGTCCGTAGTGCACAAATGGAAGAGGCGACTTTCTCCGACAAGCTAAAGACAGGTCATTTGAAGGAATGATGAACAGCCCAGAAGATATGGCTAGAACCACACAGTGGATACCAAGCAAAGGAAGGATAAAACAGTTTCGACTTGCAGGGGAAGTCGAGGTAGCAATATTGGATAGAATAATACGATCTAGAAGAGGAGAGGACGGAATCCACACTGGCTGAACAGTGTTCACTGCACTTCCTGAAGGTAAATTAAACAAATTGATATTAATATAAAAAGACAGGATCAGGGTTTTTTCACCAAATAGGTTTACTCCTTTGTAAATAATGAAGATAGTCTGTCGGAACGATTAATTCGGTTGAGTCTATCTTGGGTTTGGAGTTGGTGGTCCCTGCATGATGTATAACAGTTCTCTTTGTAATTCTTTTATATCGGGTAAACTATTATCCGAGGATAGATACCAACTTCGTGGCTATAGTTTAGGGGAGAGATATACATAATCAATCGAACCCAATCGAACAATTGTTCTCATTACGTACTGCAGTACTCTCATAACTTCAAGTGAACCTATTGGCTTGTAGTGTATGACCTTTGTCATACCAACACTGATCAGTGGTTGAACTGACATTTTGAGTCATACAACCACAGAACAGCAAGGTATTCCATTGGGGTAAGTGTTGACGCGGTCAAGCTCGACACGAGACAAAGAAGCGGCGTTTCAGATTAACTTATCTGACAGCGTGCGAATAAGAGTGAAATCTGCGGTCAGGCGACGACTCTCTTAAGGGCATTACAATTTGCAAGAAGGGAGTGACGGCCAATTGGTCCCAATTCCTCGACCGCTTACCTGCTTTGCCTGCGTCCATCACGCACGTCAATTTTACGGATTAAAGCCTAAATCCACAGATACATTAAGATGGCCGATCTTCGAAACAAAGCATGGGTAGCAATCGCCATTGACACCAAGCTCAGTGGCATGGAGATTGATGTAAAAGATGAAGAAAGTTTGGCACCTGAACTAATTAACACTCACATCGTCGACTGCCTCGAGTTCTATGAATCAAGCAATAAGTTTGACAAGGCACTACTGAATCAATTCAAGGAAGATTTTGAAGGCTGGACTGCCAACATTTTTAAAATTGCTAACAAAAACATTCGTAGGGAGCTCAAAGATCGCTTAAAGAATAGCGGAGTTTACGTTGGTGGTCGAGGTCAAGTTCCAGACCAACTATACTACTTGCTTAAGTGTGATGAGTGTCCACCATGGCCAAAAGACGAGCTTGAATTGCATATGCAAAAAGGCTATAATTTCAAGTCCCGATGTTATAACCCTAACTTTGATGGACAATACGAATTTATCCTAGGAAACCGCCAATCAGATACATCACAACCGACTCCCATTCCAAAACAAGAACCCTCCACCGAAAACGTCTCTGCCTCCAAACCAGGACCTCCCCTTCAGCAAACCCGTCCCACAATAAACTATCCACCAAATCAGCGTTCAGAATCCATTCAGCCCAATAACTACTATTCCCAAGTATCTATGACAACCAACACAGCGAGATTACTAACGGATCTTGGAAAGTTTTACGTTGACTCAGATAATAAGTTCGGCGGAAGCTTTTATGATGTGCTGGATGCTAAACTTAGAATATTTTACGACATGTGTGACAAAGCTGGTGTTACACCTGATTTATACGGCTCGGCTTACTCCACCATGCTAAAGGATAAGGCTCAAAATTTTTACTACCAACACTTAGCTCGTCAAAATCTTAGTTTTGATGAAATGATTGAAAAAACGCGCTCCTACTTTCACACCCCTGAAAATTACCAAGCCTACCTCATGGAATGGCGCTCAACAATGCTAAAAAGTACAATTGAGGCAAACCCGGAAAGAAATATATCTGAATGTCTGGAAATGGTAATTGATAAACTTCAGAAAATCCATCAAGGACTTGTGCAAAACTACAAGGACAGTCATAGTCTGCCAGGTCAATTAATCAGCGCATGTCAAGGTGTCGAGGCATGCTCTATTGTCTTGGTACGGCCAGCAGCAACATTTGAAGGTGTAGCTTCTGACCTTCGAAGTGCAGTCGGTATGTGGATGAGATCCCACAACAATTTACCTCGAGTCTTCAACGCCATGGCTCTTGACGAGAATAGCGACAAAAGTAATCAATACTTCGTTGATAGACGGTATTCAGGAAACGGCCGTTCACGTAGTTGGAACAATAATCAAGGTGGCAATTATGTCCGTGGTAATTTTCAAGGTAATAACAACCGAAGTGAAAGACAGCAAAAGAAGTGCTTTGTTTGTGGCAAACCTAAATGTTGGTCAACCCGTCATTCTCCCAAAGAACGCAAACAACGTCGCAGCGATTGGCGTGCTTACGCTCAAGATATGGGACTTAGTGAAGACTTGGAAACATTCCTAGTTAACTACGAAGGAATTGATACCGAAGAACATACAGATGACGAATCCAACGATAAAGATTTTCATGCCTGGCTTTCAGAAACACGTGAGACCTCTGTCTCTGATAAGTTTGAGCACTTCCACACGGCGTGTGGTAATATAAATGGGTATATCATAACAAATATGCTCAATAATCAATCGGTTATGCATGCCTTAACTAGAACAGACCCCTTTGGCAAAATATCCATCGAACCAGCTCACCTTTTTCACTTCAAGAGCCGATATGATGCCGAAGAATTTCAGGGCATTATGCCCGATACCGGCGCTGCAGGTATTTCGACTGCTGGTGAGAATCAGGTAAAAGCATTGCAGCGAAAACTCCCAGGTATCAAAATCAATACAGCAGTTGCAGGCCAGCACTCTGTTCGCTTTGGTGATCATCCAGAAACCGTATCTCTCGGCACTGTTACTGTGAAAACTCCATTTGGCATGATCCACTTTGCAATAATGCCGACCAACACTCCATTTCTGCTATGCCTATCTGATATGGATCGCTACGGCGTTTACTTGAATAATATCGAGAACATTTTAGTTCATAATAACAAGAAGTACCCAATTGTACGCAAGTGGGGCCATCCTTGGCTTCTTCTTGAGGACCGTGAAAAATCAGTCGCCTGGTGTCACTTAACAGAATTAGAATTACGTCAATTGCACCGAAGATTTGGTCATCCAGCTGTTGAACGTCTATACAAGGTTTTAACATGTGCTGGATATGATAATCTGGATCGTGAATCACTCGCAAAGATCACTAAATACTGTCATCAATGCCAGATGCACGGTAGCGCTCCTGGTCGTTTCCGATTTACACTGCACGATGATATTGAATTTAACTATCGCGTTATAATTGATATCATGTATATTAATAGAAAACCAGTACTTCATGCCATTGATGAGGCCACCGCTTTCCAAGCGGCAAGATTCATGACTAATATGACAGCTAAAACTACGTGGGACACATTGCGCACTATGTGGGTAGACATGTACGTCGGACCTCCTGATGTTGTTGTCACAGATGCCGGAACTAATCTCACTGCCATGGAATTTCGTGCCAACGCTCACGCAATGGCAATCAAAGTTGAAGAAGTCCCTGTAGAGGCTCACAACTCGATGGGTAAGGTAGAACGGTATCATCATATCCTAAAACGTGCGTATGAAGTCATTTCAGCGGACTTAGAAACCACGGTGACCTCGGATCATATACTTCAGATGGCAGTTAAGGCGGTGAATGACACAGCTGGCCCTAACGGATTAGTGCCCACCCTCCTGGTCTTTGGAACCTATCCACGAATTTCAGAATTGTCACCATCGTCACCATCAATTTC